CCTTCCTTTGCTGAACTTATATTGATACGACTAAAATTCAACATCTTTAAAAACAACATATCTAAAGTTTACAAATTAATTTTAATATTTATGGTGGCAACTTTATATTATTGGTTTATTTAAGGGACAGCTTTTTAAAAATTCATTAAGCAATAAAGGCAACAGGAGGTAGAGATGCTAACTCTACTTGAGATGTAAATTCTTTTCAATTTGTGATAGCTTAGGCGAAATTTCATTAGGCACTAGGAAATGTTCTCTGTTTTCTCAAATTTTTCTCAAAGTGTAAGATCCTGTCTATTGATATGACTTGATTTGGTGAATGGTGGGTGGTGGTGTCAAAATTAATCATAGTTTGCTTTTAATCAGGGGGTTCACTGTCCGCCGGGGCAGCCCATACCCTCGCGGCCACACTATGCTGTCACCACTGGGAAGTTAATCCAACTGCTCTGCGTTCAATTCAAGCAAACTTTACCCATATGTAACATTCCACTGTCGTTTCCTAAATGATGCAAATATATCCCAAAGGGGCCAGTTTATACGTCGATATAAATGATGTATATAAAGGCTGTAAAATGAGAAAGACTGGCTAACCCAATGCAGTCACCTAAAACAGGGGTCTTTGACCCCTGGTCCGTGACCTGTTAGGGACCGGGCCACACAGCAGGAGGCGAGCGGTGGGCGAGTGAGCGAAGCTCCATCTGTGTCTGCAGCCGCTCCCCAGCGCTGGCATCACCGCCTCAACTCCGCCTCGGATCATCAGGCATCACATTCTCACAGGAGCCCCGGTCCCTGGAGCCACAAAGATTGGGGACCACTGACCTAAATAAAACCCAATGATGGCCTTGCCGGGAGGGAAGAAGCATGGCCATCTCCTCTGGGGCAGGCTTCTCAATGTTTATTGAATCCACATTTATCGAATACTTAAAACTGCCAGAGGTGAGGCAGGGTCTAAAAAAGATTTGCTTATAGGGATTTAGACAGTAAAATTTAGACAGCCATATGATGGCATAATCATGAGGAAAATTCCAATTTAATATTTGGAAATGCATGATTTTTTGTATGAAGTTTTCGTGGTAATTTTTCTGCATAAGTGACGGGAATTTGTAGGTACTACTCTGTCCTAGTGTAGAGTTTCCCATGGAATGTAGATTTAATGGAAAGATGGCCGTGAAAAGAAAACTCTACAGCTGGAGAAATCCAGGAGGGGGTGGTATTTGTGACCGCTCTGGTAACTGGGCCTCAAATGGCTCCATACGCTCACCCACACCGTCTGTCCTCTCCAGCTGGACGAGGCACCCTTGTCTCCAGATGACAATGGTCTGTGCCCCTAAGTGGAAGGCATCTTCTGCCATACGCAAACACCCAGGGCTCCACGTGCCACATGCTCAAGTACATTTTTGCTAGGAACTTCTCAGCAACTGATCTAATGTCATTTTTGGTGTAAAGCATCAGTACTCAGTCTTATGTTCCTCTATACGAATTATTCTCATGTCATCTAGTTGAGTGATACTTAGAAACTTTACCCTTGTTTTTTCCAATTAAAAAAAGATATCAGAATATTTCATGCCTTCAGGAAAGCTTCAAATTATTAATGTTGTAACTCTAATCTTCTCGAATCTATTCCGAGTTAGTACACTACCTGCTATACACATTTCCTCTACAGATAAACAAATATTGATGAGAGAAATGAAGAAATATTTACAAGGTTATTGTTTTCTTACAGAAATGGAAGGAAGAATTACGCTGATCACTAGGAAAATACTAGTGCATAAAACCTGCTTATCTCGTAAGATATATAGGTTGAGTAACACATTTATAATATCCAAGAAAAATGGGACACACTTTTAATTCAATGCTATCAGAATAATTTTCTAAAGAAACTTTGATTTGAATCTATCCTAGGAAATCTACACTTATAGACTTACTTAAGTAACAAAATTTGACAAGCACCGACACCAATAAATCAGAGCACATCCAAGACACATCCTCCTAACTTTGCAACATCTGGTGATTAATCGGTTATTTGAGCGTTCATAGGGTTAACTAATGCCTGCTGTAATAATACCCTGAATAATCATAATGGACGTATTTGTCACTATATGGTCCATTTCAGCAGAAACCAAACTGTCACACTGAGATTTATTACAGCATGCGTTTTTCAGAACATAATCTTAAAAGGGGAGAGACTTGGCAGTTTGCATTGTGCCGAATTTCATCTGCAGCCTTGTCTCGGTAACTTATTTGGCATGTATTTCTTTTCTAGCAACATGTATTGAACTTTTATGAATGGGTGCGACGTCCCAGCTTAGTCATATCCCTTTTTTCCTCAATAACCTTACTATGTCTGTGAATCCCTATTGGACAAGAAAAGGGCATTGGCTTTTCCATGGCTGAAGCACACCAGCTACCTTAACCAACCAACCCAACATGCGCCTTTCCCACATGAGGTCAGTGAAGGTGACTCTCACTGCTCTGGGTAACTAGGGGGGTCCCAGCGCCCAAAAGGAAGCGATTTTTATCTTACTTGGGTATGAACCTCTCAAAACGGGAAGGAAAACTTTGCCCAGAGTGGCTATTCTGACCATAAGGACACAGAGTTTGAATCCGGGGACCCCTGGAGCTGAAAAAGCGGCTCTGGGACTCCCAGAAACCATCTGTCTTCTCCTCTAATACACTGGTATGCGCCGGGCAGACACGAAGCCCGGAAGAGCTGCAGCCATTTGCTGCCAAGCTGGAAGGTCGACCTGAGGGGCACAGACAAGAAAACCCCAGGGAGGGGCACCTGGGCCCTCGTTGTTTTTCATGCAGAGCCCAGTGTAACCTGGCACTGCCGCTCACGCGAGGCAGCGATGCGCTCGCCATCATCTGCCGTCCGAGTCAGGACCACGCCTATTTGCGAATAAAGGACCCAATGGATGACATGTTACCAGGACTGGGCTTAGGAGTAACCAGACGGAATTCTTCAACAGTGAGGAAAACGAGGAAGGCCACGCCAGGTGCGGCCGGAGATGCTTGTTACCGCGCAGGTTCCCACCCCGGACCAGTGGCGGACCAGGGGGTGGGAAACGGTAACGAGGTGGGTCCCAGCGCCCAAAAGGAAGCGATTTTATCTTACTTGGGTATGAACCTCCCAAAACGGGAAGGAAAGCTTTGCCCAGAGCGGCTCTTCTGACCATAAGGACAATGAGTTTGAATCCGGGGACCCCTGGAGCTGAAAAAGCTGCACTACCCACGACGAATCAAACGGAAGGCCCTCAAAAACGCAGGGGTGAGAGACGCAACACGGGGAAGAGAGGTAGAGAAAATACAGTCAGTCCTCGGTGTCATCGACAGGCTGCTGGGAACTGGGCCTTCGAGTGAAAAGACGCACAAGGAAACCCACTCGACCAGAGGCTGATGAACGGAAAGCAGCGCACGTGCTTCAGCACTTCCGGCCGCAGAAACGTCACCAAAGCGTAAAGACCCGAAACGCTTCTACTGTGAAACTCCGAGATAAACTGTGTGTGGCGGCTCAGCACGGGCGGGACCCACCCTGGACGGGACCCACCCTGGACGGGACCCCTGCACCCAGGGCCCCCCACCCGCCACACTCTCTCAGACGGCGACAATGCGACAATGCAGACACGCCCGTCTGCTCCCTGCACACCTGCGAGACGCGGCCGGGACCCAGCCCCGGAGAAAACCCCACGGACCTGGGGAGACCGTGCCACCGCCACAGAGGGCGGCCCCGGCCTGGAAGCCTTTGTTTTTTTTTTTCATCGATGTTATCACAAAATGACACTGAATGAAATGACATCATTCAAGGACCTGCTGTCTATGGCCTTACCCTAGCATATTTTTAAAACATTATCTCCTGAAAAAAGTATAAAGACATATGGAAATGAAATCAAAGTTGAGAAGAGATATATATAAAATACCACAGTCCGTTGTTTCAATTGGCTTCTGTAAAGATACCAACTACATATAATACATATGACACATATCCCCAAAGCACGTCGTACACGGATAAATGATCTCCAGTTAAGGATGGAAGTACAGCTATAGCATTATCCCTAAAAAGCCTTTCTTAGGACGGTTGATCCACCTGGTTTTTAAACTTCTTAAGGTTAGTGCAGTAAACGCTTTCCACATTGGCCGGCATTCTTTTTAGAGAAACAGATCAAGTAAGCATTATTTTTTAAATGATTTACGAGATTCATATTTTTCTAAAATGCCAGATACCGAACTTATGACAAGCCTCATTAAGAATAATTTTAATAAAATAGAAAAAAACTAAGTCTGATTTTTTTAGTTAAATATTTAATTTTCTGATTTCCAGTTTACAAGTGTTTAGAATGGACAAGAATGATTTTACCTCTTTATCAATAATTTTATATTAATTCAAGATAATTTCATTCACTATATGGCAACAAATCTTCACAGATGTTACCCATTATTTTTTAAAATGGAAATATAACACTACTACCTATAAAAAACAGCATTTGGTCGGTGGCTTTACAAATTTTTTTTTTCCAGTGTAAATTAAAAAAAAAAATTCTAAGAGTTAGAGAATACTGAAAACTTACTGAAAATGACCTCCACATTTATAATATTTCCATTATATCCCGAAAGAGAACTCTAAAAATATGACCTGGCTATAACAGACCATCTTGCTAATGTTATAAAAACTCGGTGGGAGCAAGAAATCGTGTCAATGATACGCAGAATTCTGTAGTTGTCTCTATACTTTAGAAAAACGTTCAAACGTAAAAAACGAAAGATGTGGTGATGATCCCTCAACTATTTAGACGATGAGTAGCTCACTGTAAACTGATTTTTATTCCACTCACAGTATCTTCTCCCCTCAAATGCCTTAAAAATAAAATCCGTTACACAGCACCATAGCGAAAATCAAAGAGCACAAACTATCTTCAAGAACAGAAAAATCTCTAGCGCAGAAAGACATCGGATAGCAGAGCACAGGCTTCTCTGGGGACATGAACCGATCTGCGTGTCCTTCGTTACGGAGATCTGTCCTTCCTCTTATGCGGAGGGTCCACTCTGTTCGCAGCGGCCGCCCCGTTTTCTGTCCCCTTCCTGTAAGCCCTGCCTTTCGTCCGTTTCTTCTTCGCGGCCGGGGCCTGGAGCGCCGCGTCGCCCTCTACCCACCTCTGCAGCTGGACACTGAAGACGGTCCACGTGACGTAGGCCTGGATGGTGCAGCTGGACGACAGCACGGCGACCTTGGCGGCCAGCACGTTCACGTTCCCGGAGGCCGCATCCGGGCCGCGAGCCTGCCCTCCCGCCAGGTGGAAGCCCGCGGTGAGGACCGACACGATCAGGGTCCCCAGGCGGCCCAGAATGAACACCACGGCCCACAGGGACAGCTCCCTCTGGTGCTTCTCGTCGCCGAAGTAAAAGAGGTCGCACGCGTGGGTCAGCAGCTCCACGGAGTAGTGCATCATGAGCAGCAGCAGCCCCAGGTGGTTCAGGTAGAGCAGGTAGGCGCCTGCGATGTGGAACAGGTGCAGGCCGATGTAGACCAGCTGCCGCGGCAGGTCCTGCCTGCGCGTGCGCTGAAAGTACAGCTCGGGCACCGCGTGGAACCAGTAGGCCAGCTGCGCCACGTAGAAGAACTTCACCTGGAAGGTCATGGTGCCCGGCGGGGCCGCGCGCCACAGGCGGGCCGGCTCCTCCAGGCAGCCCTCGGCCACCAGCACGCACGTGCCCCAGGCGCACGACACCAGGTAGAAGGCGCCGAACTGGCCGGCCTCGTTGAAGCGGCTCTGCTTGGCCTTGGCCAGCTGCAGGCGCCGCGTGACCCTGTCCAGCACGTGCTCCTGCAGCGCGGCGTGCACGATGACGGCCACCAGCGTGTAGAAGAAGACGGTGGCCAGGTCGCGCGCGCCGTAGCGGTAGAGCGCGCGCGGCGGCGCGGGCGCCCG